CTGTAAACCCGTGCATTTGAAATGCCACCAGGCCTTGCAGGCGTGGCATTGCATACCGCGTTTGACGTTCGACGGGCAGCCATTCCGCCCACATCTATTGTGGTCTACCAATGGCTGCGGAGGGCGATCGGTATGGATTGACGTCATGTTTCGGACTAGATGTAAAATAGGTGTGCGCAAAATATAAAGGGTTATCACTCAAATGTTTTGTTAGAGTAATAAAATTCAACAATTACTCGTGTGTACTCTGTGAATAGATTGAACAACGAAAAAAATTTTCACGAATTTGAACGAGGGAAAAACGAAACCGATTTCGAACGTACCGCGCGACGAGGTCAGTCGCTGGTTAGTTCAAAGGAGTGTCGCGCTTTATCCCGATTCATCCCCTCTTTATGCATTGAAGTCCAGTGCAGGCCGGTAGGGTTTCTGATCACACCGCAAATAGTCATAGTGTTCCCCTAAGGATTGTTTATTTTCTGGATAGAACCTCACTAATGACATCGCGGGCGTTTTATTTAGATCTTGGCTTCGTAAAGCTGCTCCATCTGCAGATATAGGAGGTGTTTTTCAAGGAGGCTCACCACCAGATGAGTGGCAGTGTTCAGTTTACTGCGGTGCATTGGTGGCGATCGCTGCAGATCTCCAAGCGTATATCATCCTAACGGGCACATGTTTGGATGCACTTCTTCCCATTTTTGCACCGCTTTTGCCGTCCCTAGAGTTGCCCTTGACAACAGAAGTGTTTTCGCTGAGAGTCTATAACAGTAAACGAAAAGTTTCGCGTAGATGATTGACTTGTATCGGTACACTCTGTCGATATAGCCAGAAAAAAAGTTTGTGAACTCATTTGGTGTTGGACTTGAACGGATTCCGTTTGCATAAGTAAGTAAGCAACGGTTCAGAAGTTTCGTATGCCTTCCTCATCAGAGGGCAAGGATCATAGATAGGTGACATTGAGGCATTGAGTCCGTGGCGGTTTTTCAAAGTTGACTGCTTCCGATTCAAGGTCGATTTGCCGGCATCCCAGCAACGGGGACCATTGGCCGCACAATGCTGCGAAGCCTTTGCAGTTGGAGTAAAACGTTTTGCTCCAAAATGTTGAATTTTTGCATATGCACTCGAACCAAAAATATTTTAATCTGCGATAATATGTGTGCCGCTCAACAATTGCTATATATAGTCTACTGAACACATCACACCCCCGGCAGAAAATTCTGGTTGAATACTAACCTAGCGAAGCGGATACCCCAGGACGCCTACAGAGGGCTCAAAATTTCGGACGCGCACTCTGGAGTTGATTGTTTGTCTCTTCTAGTAGATTAGGGACACGACTTAGTTTGCGAAAATGGAATTTTATTGCGCGAATACTGAACACCCGCGGTGACCAAGTGTGGCATACTTTCTTGCGCCGCCTCGCTGTGCCCCAGACACACACCCAAGTTTTCTCTGAAACCATGGTTCGAAAAATCGAAACTTCAACATAAAGTTTTAGAACTTGATAGTAATTATTCGGGCCCTTAAGAGCCCCCCCACGCGGACGCAGTTCTATTAGAAGGTCTTTAAGCGAACTCGGAGTCCCTGGTCGGCGTGAAATTCATAGGTTATTGGTGGCTGGAGTCTTCGCGCATTGCCTGTATGGAAACGATGTAAAATTTTGTGGAAAAACTGTTTTTCGCATGTTTTCTTAGGTATGAGTTTTGAAAATAATCTCAAAACGACCTAGAAAATCATCACGCCCATCACGTCTGCGCAACCTCAATTGGAGCGGCCATTCGCAACCTGGATATAAAAAATTATCCTGTGGTTCCGGCAAGCGCCCCGCCAAATCCCAGGAGTTTGTCTTAACTGGTAATTTTTTGTTTTTATGATTGTCAACATATGTCACCTTCGGCTTATGGCAGGGTTTCAACTTAACCGATATCCCGAACCATCAACAGAGCCGTCGGATTAACTGTTTGGTTTTGTGGGCGGAAGAAGTAGACGACACAGTAAGATGGTCGCTGCCTCCAAGTCCCTGTAGAAATTAGACGGACTGTAACTGTCCAGTGGATGACAAGCTCCTCTGTGAAATATTGGAGATAGTGAGCTACGGGCAAGCTATCAGACTGGGTGTGGTATTTGCGTTACCATCATCGCGACGCTGTACTTGGGTCAGTGGAAAGCCCCGTACATGAACATCTTGGATCAGCCGTTTAGGTTTGTCATTGTACTTAAGGTATTCGTGGAACCATCAAGCGTTCACGGTGGTACACTGCTGCCATTCGAACTGGGTAATAGGACAGCCATGTCTATATTGAGGACTCAAAACAGGAAAAAGTTTCCAAAAAGTTTGCTGGAAGGCGCTTTGATTTGAGTTAGAATGTCACCGAAATAACAAGCAGTTGAAATTTTTCACAATCCCTAACTACTTCAATGATGTAACGCTGCATGATTTCAGAAACGACAATCGATATTCAGGTGCGGATAATAGGTATGCGGTCGATGCGATCTGGTGTAGGCATACTTGAGTATGAAGGGGCTGATTTCGCTAGATTGTGTGCAAATTAGGTAGCTTGAAACTTGCAGAGACACGTGATCAGAGACACTGGTTGTGTTGCGCATTTGTACGATCAGCTAACCTCAGACTGGAGCCGTTACAGTCTAAAGAAGTGCGTGGAGCTTTGCTCCACCATTTGCCTCTGAGTCGTCACGTCGCGTGTATTTGGTAAGTCTTGTAGGATCTTCTCCTCTTATGTCAATGGCATTTTCGGTCAATAGGGGGATTGCTGGGAATACATGCCACAACCGGGGCAAGCTGATACCGGAAACAGGCTTCCGACAAAACTCGCTTCCATTGTATTTTTCTCTTCCTCATTGCAGAACGCAGATTATAGGGTTAGTCGTGCGGAAGGAGTATATTTTGGGTGAAGGGCATGCAGCTGAATTGAGATTTGTCAACCGTGTGGTCTTTTGCATCGCCGTGGATAGGGGATCTCGAAAGCTTCTGTACACAAATTGGTGTCCGTCGAGGGCGCCCCCTCTTCATCCGTACTTGATTTAGTGATCGATAAGACGAACGCTGAAATGTCTTCTAAACCCCGTCTTTAGGTATCTTCTGGCAAACACCTCGTTGATGTAGAGAATGCAAACATCTTTCTCATCTTCGAAGGGGAGGAAGGTTGTAGGTGTTCTCGTATGAACTGACCAAAGTCATCCTTTCCTCCGGTGTACACATGTACCACAAAGCTTTACATTATCATGATGATGTTTATTCCCAGCAGGTGAGTAGTGTACCGTCAAACACTATCATCAGGTTGCAGCCAGAGTAAGGCGTGAGCTTGTTTGCAGTTGCAGGCAATGGAGCAAATGAAAGATAGGGTACAGTCAAGATAAGGAAAGACATGATTGCGAGTTGACTATCGAACTGGGTATATCAACGCCATCATTTTACCGAAATACTTCGGTTTCCGGACGGCCCCGAAACGGAAGTCATTTTTGAGGTGATTGATCTGGGGTGTGCAATTCTGTGAGGAGGGGGATATCAAAGGTTGGCCGAGCGAATCTTCCGAGGTACAAGAAAGCTTATGCAAGATCACGGATATTCCTCCGATCCCATTAAAGAGCTGGTTTGGTGCAGCGTTTTATGTACATTCGAAGTTGTATTAGTTTTGATTATAGTGTGACAGACGAGGTCAGTGCACGAAGCTGCAATGCTCGGGTTGCATTTGCTACTTTGAACCACCTATGGTGTCGGGACGGTATATCCGTCAACGTCAAGTATCGTGCATACCAGGCTGTACTATGGGATTTTCTCTTGTATGGCTGTGGGACCTGGCCTGTTTGAAAGGCGGAACAAAGGCGTCTTGAGGTGTTTGGCATCGGTTATCTCAAAACCATAACTCGTGTTGGTCGGTGTCGGCAAATCTGTAAGGCGAGAGTCGGGCAGCGATTTTTCGGTTGTAATCCAGGGATTTCCGCTGAAGAACGCGCCATTGCAGTCTCCACCCAGATCTTTATCATCGTATGAGACAGTTGTATCGCACCATTTTTGGCTTTCTTACAAGTTGATTTATTTGGATATAGTCGACAGTCTCGAAAGTGAGTGTGGGTTGCAACACTTCAGCATAAACGCTGAGCTGGACGAAGTCCAGACATGTGACTCTTGTTGGTTAAACCGAAACTGTGGTTGAGTATGTATGGTTATAAAAATAATGTTTATTCCCAACTTGTGGGTAGCATGACGTCGGGCATGATCATTCGTTTACAGTGAGAATGGGGCATGTGACTGGGGGATTTGCGGTTGGTGGGGATTTTACGAAAAGTGGACAATTGTTATGAACAGTGAGTAGTATTAGATGGAATAATAATAACAGGTTTCTTTCGCAACTTGTAGGGAAAAATGGGCATGTGGTCCGACTAATTCAAGGACTCAGTCGGTTGACATGAACTAAAACTGGAAAACCATTGCTGGCCACGAGTGACCTTGGGCGTTTGGGTAAATGGCCGGAGACACAACGAGCAAAAGTGGAGGTGGAGATGCGATAATTCGAATTGGGAGAACATGGCAGGTTTAGTCTCAAAAATATGGTTCAATCTGAGAAAAAGATGACTCACTGGTTGCACTGTTGTGGGAGAGTCAGGTGCAGAGGTTAGGTTGGATGAGGACACAGTGGTGGTTGGATTCGAACGAGTAGTCCAACAGGTTGGAATGAATGTCATGGTGGTACTTGGGGTCACTGAAACGAGTAGGCAAGTATGCTCGGTTGGGAGGAGGAATGGAACAGTTGCGGGTGTGCTAACAAACTGAGTATGGCAGTGCCGTGCCATCATTGGCCTGACATGCTTCAATTTTTGAACAGCCCCGTGACGGACGTCACATTTGTGATCATTCGGCTGGGGTGTGTAGTTCATTAAGCAGCGGTATTCATTTCATCCTGGTCAGAGGACAAGGTGGAACGAAGGCGACATGGGATTGTAGGGTTTTTGTGGTCCGCTTGGTGGTCCTGGAGTTGTAGATCATAGGCCAGGTGGAGTGGATATCAGCCAACCAGGTCGTCCGAGACGGGCACTTCCGAAGTTCAAAGCCTGGGAAGATGAGGGGATG